CATCTGCCTATCAATCCCCCTTCACGCCGCACCGCGACTACCGAAACACCATCTCCTATTCCGAAAAACCCGATGGGAATGCTGGGCTCTTCAGAAGCTCTCTAGTACACAGAGCAACCTTTATGAAGAATTGGGAGCTTCCGAGAAATGACACTGACGTGTAAACAGAGGCAGGAACAGGTAAGACACCCCTGACGAACACGGCCGCAGAAGCAGACGCCCTGTGAATCGCGGCCTGCGCCCTCTCCGGGAACCACCGAGACGGCGGCTGATGGGTCCCCAGAGCAGCCAGCTGCAAATCGAAAATGACGGAACCCTGGACGAGACCAGCGTTTTTTACGCTAAACACACCCTCCCCGCATGACCTGTGTACGGGGCTTCTGGACGCCCCAGCCAATGGAACGACAGTATCTGACTCCGGGTGATTTGTAAAAAGACACCAGCTGACAGCTAAATAAAACCCCGTGAACGAGAGGCTAGGACGCTACAGGAAGATGTGCTTTTGGAAAACACAGCTCAAGTGGCCATAAAATCAAACAGGAATGGATAAAGGCAGCACGAGATCAGATGTGATTTTAGCAGATTTCAACTAAGGCTGGAAAGAAAAGAGTCGTGAGACATGAAACGGCCGTGAACCAAGGGTGCCCAATTAACCGCTATATACCAGAACATCCTCTCCTCAGCCACTCTTAACCACTATTGTTATGGAGGATCAGACAGAACAGCGGCACCAGGCGGGCCTATGCTCTAAAAGCCCTTTAAAACACGATCACGTGGCTTCCTATCTTCCCCACACCAAATATAGCTGATAAGAATCAAACCCTTCTCCTTTAGATAATATCGAACTGCTCCCATCCCCCAATTCAAGCTGGAATGTATTTGGCAAGAAGTACTGAGCTTCAAAGTAGCAGAAATGAAAGTGTGGCAAACTATTGTTCTTCTTATTGCACTCATTTTACTTTCAAACCTAAGTTCTAGCATTTTCGTCAGCATTCCAAAACTGTGGAGCGGTTCGGTGGTTTAAAATGAGGTGCTTTTTAGACCCACCCGGGGGTAACATTCTGCTACGGAGTCCCCCTGCCATGTGAAAGAGCTGTTATGAGAGCGGTCAACACATGGGGGCTGAACCACAAAATAAACAATAGAATCTGAATTCAGAAGGTGCTCTTCACAAGTAACCAGCACTCACGCGCATTCCGGAAAAGTCCAGAGCTGATTTTCATTTAGGAAGTACAGTCTGATGGAATCCAGGTGCCCTTCGAGATTTAACAACATCCATTCCAGCTGGATTTATTCTGTTGATGTTAGTCATGCGCCAAACAGCGTCCCTCATTGCCAACACCGATGTGTGTTATTTCACACCGGCACGTTCTGGGACGGCACCACTGCTTTAGTAATCAGGAAGGAACTCCCCCAGCTAACGAAGGAACCAATGAAATAGGCGGAACACTCACGGGGCGTCACTCGTGACGGGAGGCCAAGCCTGGAGGAGCAGAGCCAGGTGCTGCATCTCCTCCCACCTGCCGCTGATGGCCAGCAGTTCCTCGAAGAGCGCCCGGCGCTTCTCCTCGCTCTCCACGTCGTCCATCTCCAGCTGCGGGACAGAGGGAGATAAATGGCTACAACCTTACTAAGGCTGTACGGTTTGCATTGACGACGGAGGTATCTGAATGTCTGAAAAGGTTTATGGGTGGAAAGGTGTTTGCGAGACTCGCTCTGGGTGTGATGGCAAACAGAGCAGCATGACATGGGGTTTGGAGGAGGGGGACAGGGACTTTACGCGTAGTGGTGGCTTAATGGTCAGGGAAGCGAGCTTGTAATTGAAAGATTGCCGGTTCAAATCCCTGACCAGCAAGGCACCACTGAGGTACTCTGAGCAAGGTACCGCCCCCAAGCACTGCTCCCCAGGCGCTGAATTAGCTGCCCCCTGCTATGTCACATATGAGTTAAATGAAGATGGACACATTTCACTGTGCTGTGGTGTGTCAGCAATGACAACGGATCACTAAAAAGAATCTACTCAACAGATGCTTTTGTCCAAAGTAAATCGAATAAAGATAATTTATTAATCCTCGTGGAAATTCTCTTTTTGTCTACCCCTTCTTGCTCTCCATGAGACACAGAGACAGATATACAGGAGAGAGCAAGCTTGGAGGTCACACGCAGGGACAGCCGGTGTGCAGTGCCTCTGGATCTGGAGGTTAAGGGCCTGGCTCAAGGGCCCATGGACAAGAGACTATTCTGCCGAGGCTTGAACCGGCGACCTTCCCATCACAGGCACAAAGGGTTAGCTTGCTGTGCCACACACACACCCAGGGCATTGCCCTGATTATTCTGCTATTCATGGGATTCAAACACACAACCTTTTGGACGGAGACACAGACCCCTAAGCTACTGAGCTATACACTGCCAAAGAGGGGGAAGAATTTTAATGAAAATGGCGGGGAGGAAGGGAAACAAAAGTCACCAGTTCTGGAGACAATGCAGAAAACAAAAGGCTTTGAGTCTGGAGAGTAATATTGGAGTCTGGGCATGTTTGGTCCAGTGGGAAATCAGGGACCCATCTGACAGGGCTCACTGGACAGGAGGAAAGGGAATGGATGTCCCTTCCCCTCATCAAAAATTCTCATGAAGTGAGGCCCCCTGCTGGATGTCAAGGCAGTGAGCCACACAGAATGAACTTTCAGGCATGCAAATTAACAATCCTAACAATCAAACGTTTTTGCACAACTTTGCCAGGATTAGTTGTGTGACTTGAAGCACCAACATCCTCACTGGTCGCTTTCTCGCAAGTCCCGCCCTCGCAAGCTGTCAGATTGGCTAAGCAGTGGTCAGCTGATGTCCTCTTGGGGTCTCAGCTTCAGGAAGTACATCAACACGGCGAGCACAGAATATGTGGGGATCAACAGGACAACCACTGAGGACTATTAATTCCCCAGAAAACACAATGCTACACAATACGTTCTTCCTCATTACAGCATTGCATTTTAAACGGAACAAATTCAACCCTAAGATGAAGAATGGAGAGACAGGATAGTGTTAAATGCATGATTTACTCAGACAGGGGGCACAGTGCTTAAGGAATTATACTTGTACCCCTCAGAATAGCGCTATGTAGAACCAGAGTAAAAATAATGGTTTGAAGTGGTTTTATCCAGCAAGTGAAACACACTTCAGAAAAACATTTTTTGTAACATCATAATTAAAAAACAAAAAAACATTTTTTAGTTAGCAAAAAACAAGGGGCAAAAAATGCTGAATTATGCAAATATCCACACAGAAAAACATAACACAACAAAAACATTGAAGAGACGGTCATGCCTTGGTACAGGCATTTATTTTCCCATTTGCCAAAAAAGAAACTTAAAATGAAATGGAAAAAGAGGGCGAAAGCCCAATAAATCTGGCCTGTAGGATCCAAAACAAATGCTGTTTCTTACAGCAAATTCAAACATCGAGGGAGACTTTGTGGGAACAAACGATGGAACGCAACCGAAAATGCACAAGCAGCCAGGCCTCATTTTTCCAGAGTGCCAGCATACATTTTCCCCGGTGGCAGAATTCCTGGAAAGCAGCCGGACACTGCTGGATCGTTTGGAATATCGGCGAATACGTCCGAATGGTCCCTGCTCAAAGGCAGACTTTGTCCAAAATGCAATTAAATTCGCTACCCTTGCCCTGCAATTTAACAGTTCAGAAAAAAATAATCTGAATTTTGCGCAGGGCCCTGAATCAGACTCAGAATTGCAGGCTCATTGGTGTGATGCTGTCATATCAGGAGTACAAGAATTGTTTTAAACAAACAAACAAACAAAAAAAACAAACACTTTTTATATATATTTACCAAGTTCAATGTTACAAACATCTGCATGTTAATCAGTTTATTAAATGAACTATTACAGCAAACACATTTTGGAGAAAAACAGTCACATGTTTATCGTCTCTGATTCAAAGGGTCGCTCTTTCTTGGGTGCTGTTCTTGACACAACTTCCTAGAACACGGTGTTCATCTTTTGACATTCAAGTTACTGTTTTCTGCACAAGGCTGTCTTCAGCATTCTCGTTTTGCTCTGAGTTTCTAGTCAAACTGGAGCTCCGGACCAGAAAATAGTTAACTGACATCTTTCAATAGTCAGTTATCATTATATCGCTGATGTTACTGTTTCTGGTTCTGACTTGAAAAATGTAGTCTTCCCGATATAATGACCATTTTTGGCCATATGCGATGAGCTCTAAGGATATCGAGCAAATTTTCACAACACCCAGGGAGGTATCGCGCAGCTCTGCAGAACTAATTAGACGTCCCCAAACAGCACTGTCAATGTCACTTTTAACATGACAGGCTTACAACTTCTCTTGGCCACCCTGAGACAGAGTAACATTATGGCCCAATCAGCCAACTGTGTTCATCCGGACGAAGGCGCCCAGCGGCATGATGCCGACCTGAGAGAGCAGCCCTAAAAACAGGCCACACACACACGCCGCTTTCTGAGCTGATGAATAAACCCCATTCCTGCCACTCGTGCCAACAGCAACCTACAACCTACACTTCAGTGCCGTAAAGTGCCCACAAGCCGCGAGAACAAACCAACAGCCACACAGCCAAAGAACAGGCCCTTCAGATGGGTGCGTGCTGTAGTTAGACCCAAATTACATGAGGAAAAAGAAACAAACGCTTATTATTATTATCCTGCCTATTGCAGACACCGGTTCTCCCTGTTTAGGGAAGACAAAGAACACCCACACCTGCAGCACAGACATATTTAAATTCCACTTTTCATTATTATTGAGTAAGACGTATTCTGAGGGTATGATGTCGGTAAACATTTAATGGAAATGCACAATTTATGAGGTGCAGGAGAGAGTCAGTGTAGCTGGAGGCTCAGTGGGTGACACTGTGAGCTCACACCTACAGGGCTGGGGTTCAAATCCCGCCTTCGGCTCTGCGTGCGAGGCATTTGCACGCCCTTCCCGTGTCGCTCCGGATCCCTCTTGAACGGGTGCCTCTAAATGACCCATTCCTGCTGCGTGTGATGGATGGGAACTCCCCTACCAGGGCGCCCCCTGCCAGTGGCCAACGGTTAAGTCAGAGGCCGGCTGAAGATGCGACTCCCTAATGAGGGAAACAGGGCGCCGGGGTGCATCATGCGGGGGAATCTAATTGCAGGAAGCATACAAACACATGGCTTGGAGTGACGCAACCTCTCCGGCAGTGATCACACCCCTGGCGGGGGGTGAGGAGGGGGCCGGTGGATCGCTCCTGCTGACAGAATTACCAGGTAAAGAGCAACATAATTGCCAGGAAGAGGAAACCAAGTCGAATGACATTTCTTTTTACTCTGACGACAGCAAGGCGATCCAACAGAAATATATAAATGAAATAAAATGAAATAAAGTGCTGTGGCTGCATTAACAGAGGTAGAGTGCTGCAATCCGCTCTGCGTCTTGGGGGGGAGGGGGCACATTTAGTCCCTGGTTGACATGAGGACACGTGTGGCTGAGGCATAGATGGCACGGGGGGTGGGGGGTGACAATGGAAACGAGGGGATGAGAGTGACCCTTCCTCTTGGGGGGGGGGGGTTCAGGACTGCCTGGGACCCCACTGTGTGTGTGGGGTGGGGGGTAGTGGCCATTTTACGTTCCATTTCGAGGACGGCCTCATGAAATATTTAATCACAGCTTTTAAGCACCTTCTCTTGGTCTGCGCCCCCCCCCCCCAACACTGATGCACGACACTGAAAAACCATATTTCACACACAAGACAACTAAAGTAAGGTCTGGGAACTCCGCATTGTGCTGCCCAGATAGCCAATAAGCTACGTCCTTGCTTATAACACTGATGTACGATCAGGTTTGCTTCTCATCTTATAACATAATGGGTTATGATTGCCATTCCAGAAACTGAGCTCAGATCAGCTGGTCAGTGAGAGGCAAGTCATCAGCTGCAAGTGCTAGTTGAATTTCTGCTTCAAAACAAATACATAAACATTTTATGACCAAATTTAAAAATATACAAGTTGTTTCTTTCGCAGATACAAAAAAAAGAGTAACAGTAACTTGCAGGCTAAGCCTCTGTGCCAGTTTGAGCCTCGGCAGGAGAGTCACATGTCTGTGGGCCCTTGAGAACGGCCCTTAACCCCCAACTCCAGGGACCCTGTGCTGTCACCCAGAAGCTTGTGCTCACCTGTATATGGCTGTATGTCTCATATAGAGCATGATGGGGTAGGTGAAGAGACGCACTATAATGTACCTGTACTTGTGCAAATGGCAAATAAAGGATCATTTCATTTCATTTCAAATATCCTTATCATCAAAGCAAAGCAACTGAATACAATCGATATATCAGAAGGTATTGAATAATGAATTAATACCTCATTAAGGAAGATAATCTATTAAATGGCCTTTGGTGAGCTTGAAGTTCTCTGAAATTTAAGTTACGAAGTTTCAGTGAATATGGCAGCTAATACTTGTCTATGAAAGAAAAATAACCTTTGAGAGATTAACTTGTACTAGAAATTTCCTTTCGAAAAGGCACTGTAGTGTAAAGGGCTGTATTCGTATCAGCGACGGCTTCGTTAGATGCCTCCTGATGTA